CTGGAGGGTGTTATGCTGAGTGAAATAAGTCAATCAGAGAAAGACATGTATCATATGACCTCACTGATATGAGGAATTCTTAATCTCAGGAAACAAACTGAGGGTTGCTGGAGTGGTGGGGGGTGGGAGGGATGGGATGGCTGGGTGATAGACATTGGGGAGGGTATGTGCTATGTGAGCGCTGTGAATTGTGCAAGACTGTTGAATCATAGATCTGTATATCTGAAACAAATAATGCAACATATGTTAAGAAAAAAGAAAAAGAAGAAGATAGCAGGAGGGGAAGAATGAAGGGGAGTAAGTCAGAGGGGGAGACAAACCATGAGAGACGATGGACTCTGAAAAACAAACTGAGGGTTCTAAAGGGGAGGAGGGTGGGGGGATGGGTTAGCCTGGTGATGGGTATTAAAAAGGGAACATTCTGCGTGGAGCACTGGGTGTTATGCACAAACAATGAATCATGGAACACTACATCAAAAACTAATGATATAATGTATGGTGATTAACATAACAATAAAAAATTAAAAAAAAATAAAAGGTATCATAAACTTTTCCTTCTTCCCTGCTAACTTTGGACTTTTTCTCCTATATATTTCTGTATATCACACTGTATTTTTCATTAAACAAATATTTATTGAATGTTTACTCCATTCTGGGTTATGCTGCTTAGCAAAAAGAATATGCCAGTAAGATCAGACATACCCCAAAGATCTAGAACATATGATATTTGAAGCATCTATGCATTACTGAGGTGACTCTTTCTTATTTTTAAACATGTAGAAAATATAGAGAAGAACAGCAATGTAAGAAACAGTTTTGTATCCATCTGTGTTCATATGTCTGATCTTCCTATCAGACTGTTAGTTCTTTGTGGGCAGTGATGCTTTCATCATCTTGTACCTTGTATGCCTAATGTAGAACTTGGCACATACTGGGCACTCAATGTTTACTGAAAAGACGATTCAGCAAAAAAACATGGCACAGCTTGATGTTTTATTTTTATTTAATTAGTATCATGTCCTTTTCCCACGTTTCCTTTAAAGTCTCTAAAATAATCATGGCACTAACCTCTTCTGTTACAATGTGACATTCCCAATTAACTCCTATGGACATTCACTGTTTTATCTGACTCAAATGCACCTTTGACTACTCAGATACTTGGATTTACTTCTCTGTTTGCACTTGGTTGTCTGGCTCTACCATGTCTGTTGGTCCTTGTGTCTTCTCGTTACATTGCACTGATAACCTGGGAAGCACTGCAGAAGGGTATGTGTGCTAAGTAAGGGATCTCTACAATAACATGCTTTCCTCCATCAACAAAGAGATTTAGCTAGGTAAAGCAGGAGGAAGACAAGGCCATTTCAGTTAATTTTTCTAGAACTGACTTCAGGTCCTGCTAAAGGATCCTCTGTCTTAAACATTAAACTACCTTTATAGGAAAGGGAGAGAATGAGACAGGGAGGGAAGGAGGAAGTGAGGGAGACAGAAGGATACCATGTGGAAATAGAGCCAGCTACATTTCCTACTGAATGGAAAGGAATCTCCAAATTAATCTGCTGATGGTATCAGCAGGCAGGCAGGCAGGAATTTAACACTGAGGCATGAACCTAAAATGGACAAACGGCACTAATCTGCTAAGCCTCAGGAAAAACCTAGTCATTAATTTTGTTTCTGATGAACTGTTAATGAACAATGATAAAAATACCTACTAGAACAGTTAAAACCAAAACCAAACATCTGTATTTTCTGTAACAGTTGAGCTGTGTAATAGATAAAGGTGAAATGCGCAGGGTCTGGAAAGGTATAAACTAGCACTCTTCTTCTGAAGGGCAATTTGGCAATACATATCAAAAACCTTTAGAGTTTTAAAAAACCCTTTGGCCCAACAATTTCAGGAATTTATCTACAAAATTCTACAAAAAGAAAATTCACTGTATTACCATGTAAAATAGCAAACAACTGCAAACAATCTAAACGCCTACACATAAGGAATTTGTTAAAGGTTGACAGATCCTTATGAGGGACTATTCAAGTATAAAAATACTTATTAAGTATAAAATGACTTATGAAGAGTATTTCTTCATAAGGATTTATCAACCTTTGACAAAGAGGAGAATAAATTGGCTGTTAAATTATTTTTTGGTTGCAGAACTCTTTTTATCCCCAATTGATATCTAGTTACAATCTAATATAAAGAGAAAAAAACAACAGCAACTGCAACAATCAAAGATGCTCTTTCGAAAGTGAGGATGGGGAACCTGGAACTCATCCTACTCCTAAGAACTTTATGGCTTCAAGGAACATTTTGAAAACCACTACTTTCAAGAACATTTACTGTGGAAAAAAAGATCAAGATTATAAAATGACTGCATTTTTGTAAAAAGAAATTATACATATGTTTATATTCATATATTATACAATGAAAAATGGTTAGAAAGATATACATCAAATGCAAACAGTGCTTATCTTTGAGTGGTGGGTTTATAGGTGATGTGCACTTTTTTATTGCTTCTTTGCTTTCTTCCCTTAGATCTATGATGAGCATATAATTTCATTATAAGGAAAAAAAATGTTATTTTTAAAGTTAAATTTTAAAGTTGGATTCTTCTGTACAATAAGTTTTCAATATCCCTTTATTTCAGTTGGTATTTTAAAGTATTAACAATTCTTCAGGTGCTTGCTTAATTGGAGAAAGATGCCATTCATCTGACAATCGAGGCATTATTAAAATCCAAGTAAATGGGCTCTTATTGGCAAGTTTCTCTGCATCCTTATTACAGATTTTCCTTATGCCAAATTGTGGGTACCTCCCTATGCTCTGATTTCTGGGCCTTTTCACATGCTGTTCAGTCTCTGAGAAATGTTCATCTCCCCAACTGTCAAAGAGTTCCATCATTTTCAGTCATCCTATCTTGGAGACACCTTCCCTGACTATGCTAAGTATTCTCAATCATTGCACTGTTTCTCTCCTAGCACTTAACACAATTTGAATTATATATTTGTTTACTTATTTATTACCTGTCTCACCAACGAAACTGAAGGCAGAGACTATGCCTATTATTTGCCAACATATTACACAATGCCGGCATAATACCTAGCAATTGGCTATAAATATTTACTGACTGACTGAATGAGCGACCAAATGTTTGCTAATTTGAATCTGGAGACTCACGGAGACTCACGGAGACTCAATTGGTTTAAAAAAAAAAACCAAAACAACAACAACAAAAAAAACAACAAAACCTTTCCCACACTCTTGCCTAAATGGGTTGGCAAGATCCTGTTTTCAATACTGTTTAAATTTCTGATAACTTCAGTAATAGCCCAGAGTCACAGTCGCTGGGCACATTTTATAATGGCTTTATCTACTGATCCACAACTTACAAGAAGCCCTAGGTCTGGAGAGATGCCTGCTTCAGGACTAACTGATCCTTCCTCATGTATCTTTTGGAGAATAAACTTTCTATAATCCAGAATGAGTAATTGCTGCTTCAACATCTTCTAAGGCTTCTTCCAGCCCTACTATTACACTAACGAAGGCTAGTCTCAATTTACTGATATATATTACATGTCATTCCACATATATACTGATGTGCAGCCATTGAATTATAATAAACCTTTTTGGTCAGGAATCTGAACAGTGTGAACCACTATTTTGGGCACAATTTAAATAACGGGCTCCAACAATGGCAAACCAACAGTCTCAGAAGAGCTCTTGCAACTAAATGGAGAACTTAAAAACACCAAAACAAACAGTGTAAGAAAAATAACCATAGAAGGTACCAAATAAGCATAGAGACATAATATTTTAAATACTTCCAAATATTTGGTTTCAAAGCATAAATGGAGCATGTGGGCTTTCCACATCTTTTCCTGCCAAGTCTCAGGAAAAACTGACCATACTACAGTCATCTAAAACAACTGTTAGGACTGATCTTCAAATATTTGGTTTCAAAATATAGACCTATTTGCACTTTAAAACTCAGATACCTGCATACTCCCACTATAGCACTGCACTGAGATAATCCTCTCAAAGTAGGCTGCTGGCTAAAACAGATCTGTGTTCATGGTAAGCACTGCTTCAAATGGACACAGCAAAATGTTAGCCTAAGTCCTCAAGTCAGCTGTCAGAAAAGATAATTTACCCTGGCACCAAAATACTTTGTTTCTTTCTTTGTTTCTCTTTTTAAAGGCAGGGGCTCAATTTCACTCATCCTTTAAGGTTAAAGAAAGCACAAATGTGAAATGTTAAGATTCTAGAAAGGAGGAAAAAAGTTTATGTCCACTTTGCTTACAACTGTTGCCTTACTTAAACTAAGTTTCTTGTTTAGCATATTGTTCTTGTGGGTACTTAGATATAAACTATCAAATATGCCTCACTTTGGGCTGCTGTAAGGTCTAAGCCACAGAAAAGGATCTTAGTCCAGAAAAAAACCTTTCCCACACTGTGGTATAATTGTATTTATTTTCTAGGACTATATACAAGCATGGATATCCAGTTGCAGTCCTATATTTCTGATAGTTATCTAATACTATAACACTCTAGGGATGATTGGGGACACACACAGCATCTTTTGCTCTTCTGAGCAGATATCAATTCTGATCAATTTTAACTGGCCTGATTTATCTTATCTTTTCTTTAATATGACAGTCATTGTAAATGCCTATAACTTTATGACCAATATTGTTTTATTTCCCTTCAAATCTTATCATTTAAACCTTGTTCCTGAAAGCAGCACTTAAAAAAAAAGGCAGGTGATAGTACAACTGGGAAAAGGAGCTATATTTGGCACCTTACAAAATAATAATCCATAGTTAACTAATTGGAATTAAAAATTTTAAAATCTATAGAAAACAAAAATAATGAAACAGTCCAACTTCATCCTATTTTTCTGGTGTTACACAAATGGAAAGCAAGCATTCCTCCCTTGCAGGCAGCTCTAGGGATGCCCCAGACCAATTAAATTATAGGTAGATAAGAATATCCTTCTCAACCTTACCTCTTTATGCACCTTCCAACTGTCTACTGTCACATTGAAGAGAGCTTTGAGGGCCTCAATGGCACAGTCTGTCTCCTGAGGTGAGAGAGGAGGTCCATTATGGTCTATGGCCGATTCATATTCATCGGTCCACTTGATGCTAAAGGCACTTTCCAAGATCTGGGTTAGCAGCGGTAGTCCCTGGAGCTCATAGCGCAATTGTGACCTGATGTCAGTGTGCAAAAGTGACAGGAGGAAGAGCAAGCGCAAGTCAAAGCACTTAATGTCACTGATAAACTTTCGGTCCTTGCACTTTCTCAGGAGGTTACAGAGCTTTGCAGCAAGGTTAAGTTCCAGGCTGAGCTGCTGCGCCATCTGACTGTTGAACACTATGTTACACAGACATTTTAATGACTCCACAATAACTGGGAACTCTGACACCTTCTCCAAAGAATCATCCGACTCATTTAGCTTGGCTAATCGCAGCAGTATCTGCATATTTTCCTTGGTTGTTACAGGAACTAAAACCTTTTTGTCTCTGGAGAGAATGCGGAGAACTTCCAGGCAGGACACTTGACATGTTGTTGGGATGTCCTTTACAAGAACTTTAAATATGCCTTCACAGAGTTTCTGAAAAACAAGAACGAGTATGCAAAAATCATTACTTGGCTTAAATGATTTAAAACAGAATACTTTTCTACCAATGTATGTAACAGCAGTCAGATTCTGGCTAGAAAAGATTTTTACTTTTTTTTTTCTTTTTTTAAGCCACAGAATATTAGAACTGAAAGAGACCTTATATTTGCTGCACTTCTTTCACTTACAGATATAGAAATTAAAGACCAGAGAGGCTGTACTGGGCCAGAGTGAATCAGTCAGGTCTTACATAGCTTTGTTCTAAACAGATTTTTAATATCAGACTACATATAGTATCAGGATAAAGGCAATTAGTCTGAATCACAGCTGATGGACCCAAAGTGTACATACCTGTCTTGCATTTTTTGAAATATTATTCCTATCATTGCTAAATTTAAGAACCACTGATCATTCTTTCAGTATTCAATGTCCAGCTTTCTTGTCCATAAACTGCAGGTCTGGATCTCTCAAGCTCCTACCTTATATGTGAAGCAAGCTGCTATAAACTATTCTATTGCTGACCATTTCTGTACCTGTTACATTTTATAAAAGCAACAGCAACAACTAGGACTAACATCAGATTTTACAAAGTTTGTATTTACCTATCATCAGACCTTAACTCTTAAAAGAAGCTATCTGTGGGTCAAGCATTATGATCTTGGCAAGAATCCGAGGCTGTATGTACCTTCTCAGTACATCCTAGTTGTACAGCTATGAAGTGCCTACTTTAAATACAGTTGACCCTTGAACAACAGGGGTTTGAACGGCACGGGTTCACTTACACATGGATTTTTTTTGATAAATACAGTATAGTACTGTGAATGTATTTTGTCTTCCTTGTGATGTTTTTAATAACACTTTTCTCTAGCTTACTTTATTGTAAAACTATGACTACAATAATACAGAACATATAAAATACGTGTTAACTATGTTATTGGTAAGGCTTCTGGTCAACAGTAGGCTCTGAGTAGTTAAGTTTTGGGGGAGTCAAAAACTACACGCAGATTCTTTGTGCTGGGGACTAGCACCCCTAACTTCCACATTGTTTAAGGGTCAGCTATACTATGTTCTCTAGATGAAGGGGGGAAGGAAATTACCTTGACAAGCTGAAAAAATTTTATAACAATGTCAACTCTATCCCTACCATCTCTGATAACTAGAAGGGACTTTCATTCAATGTCTTATTATCATTGTTAAAACATTTTTAGAAAAATGAACACAAGTTTGGGGGGTGGGGTGAGTATAATGTGCCCATTATAGAAATATAAAAAAACGGGGAAATTTTTCTCCAATGTCTGATCTTTCACATCCAAGAAAAACAAAAACAAAACCACATTCTATATACTACTTCCCATGTAGCATATTCCTGGGGGTGGAGTCAGATAACCTTTGCTCCCACATAACTTTACTCAGGAGAGAAATCATCTACATTGCTGTTTAAGAAACAAAGAAACATTAAGAAATAAATAAGGTATTATAAAATATCATATATGTGAATTTGGAGTGCTACATATTGAATTAAAAAGACACCTTTACCCCCTTCGTTTTTAAACCAAAGAGAACAGCAACAATAAAACAAAAATAATAAAATATAAAATACAGACACTATGGGTCCTTTCTTGCTCCACCTTCAGACTCAAGAAAGAAAAAGAGCAAAGCATGAATACAAATAGGAATAGGCAAGGCTATAAATCAAACGGATTGAAACTCTCAGACATAAGAAGGCTACATGAAAGAGATTAGAGAGCCCATACAATTTATAGTTAAAAACTACCTCATCTATACTTCCAACCAAAGACAAGAGTTCTAGTTTTAAAGCACAGTTTTTAATCATAATTGTTCTTAAACATGCCATTTCTTTTTATAGATCTGCCTCACATAATGATCGTTAGGTAGCTTTTTGCTATAATTTTAACATATATTTAAAATTAAACCACTTTTTGGATAATGACTCTTTCCTCCCTTTTTTTCAATTACAACTCAAAAAAAAAAAAATCAAAGACATACCTAAAATACAAAAGTGATACTTAATAGACACACTCATTGCCTTACTCAATATAATCATTTTAAATCAGAGAATAGTATAAAGAGCAAATTAATAAATCATGTACATTTGGATGAATTAGAAAAATTTTGTTTTGCGTATGTACACCAGGCGAGAACACTGAAGGAGCATTCTTTACACTTTCTCCATCTGCTGAGTGCATGCTCTACTTCTGTGTTTCAAAGGTACTCTTGTATTTCACCTTTATTTTTGCTCTAACAGTGTTTTTCTGGGCTGTAACTATTTTTTTTTTCAATTGATTTTACTCTTCCTAAAACATGCTTGCCTCTCTTCAAACACTTTCCACAGTTCCTCCTTGCCTGCAGTACGCAGCCAAAATGAGCCCACTGCTCCCTTTTCTACTGCTATCTCTGTCACACACGGCTCTCCTTTTTCAAGTGCTTCAAATGGACTCCCAGGCCTCTGACCATATGTCCTGAGCCTCTCCCCTGCTGCTCCTTTCATGGCATGTCCTGCCACCATGTCCACCTGTCAGGAGCCCTCTTTTTCTCAGGTTTAGTTTGAAGATAAGGGGTCTATATGCTTCCCCAGTCACTCCCTCTTTTGCTATTTGTGCTTCCAACAAGAACTAAGTTTTTGCTTTTGTGTAGAGTAAGTTGTTGGGGCATCTTACTCCTTTTCCAGGCTCCCTGAGAACAGAGGCTGTTTCATCTGTATCCCTGTAACTGGCTCAGGTGTGCTAGAACTATTTTTAAGTGCAAGATAACCACAAATTCCCAACCTTAAAACCTACCACCTGACTCTCCAGCATCTTCCAAAGAATGACTCCTTTGTGTTCTTCTTCCACTAGGCACCACTTACTATCAAGTCTTCTCTTCCTCTTTTTGCAGGTACAACAAACTGTCATTACATTATATGTTAGGCACAGACTGTTTTTATTTACTTTCAAAATATTTATACAAACTTGTTTTCATTGTTCAACTGACATATATATATATATATATTTTTTTTTTTTTTAAAGATTTTATTTATTTATTTGAGAGAGAGAGAGAGACAGAAATAGTGACAGAGAGCATGAGTGGGGAGGAGAGGGAGAGGCAGGCTCCCTACCTAGCAGGGAGCCTGATGTGGGGCTCGATCCCAGGACCCTGGGATCATGACCTGAGCCGAAGGCAGACGCTAACCAACCAAGCCACCCAGGCACCCCAACTGATATATATTTTAATCTGAAAATTATTCTGGTACCTAAAGTTATCATGGAACCCAATTTTTTCCATCAAAATTAATGGAAATATTTTCTGATTTAATAACTTTCACTTAGTGGTCTGGTTCTCTGTAATGAACTAAAGTCATAAAGCGAAGTCTAGGTATGCTTACAAAGTATAATTACTAAGAATCAAAGAGTCTGAGGAAAAGCCCTTTTAAAATGCTCACTAGCTTAGCAAGCCATGGCTATTTCTATAAAGTTAGACTGCAAATCCAACAGCATAAATTCAAGAGTAAGATCCCAAATGGTTCCCCAATGTTAATACTACTAGTGCCAAAAAAGGTTAGTTTGCTCCTGAACTGAAACCCATGAGTCTATAATAGCAGTGGTTCTCAAACTTCATCATGCATCATAATCCGCTAAAGGGATTGTTAAAACACATTGTTGCACTTCACCCCCAGAATTTCTGATTCAGTAGGTCTCGAGTGAGGCTCCAGAACTGGGACATTTAACAAGTTCCTAATTGCTGCTGATGATTCAGGAGCAACAGTCGAGAACCACTGAACTATGGTTAACAATGGACTGACATAACTTGGATGTTAGAGGGTAGGGGTTAACCGAGAGCAATGGACCAGATAAGCATAGAAAAGTAGGCAGAGTTGAAAGCCATTAGCACAAATACCTTAACTTCTCCTTGACTGTCCTGAAGATGTATAAGGGTGGCAGGGATAGGAATGGGGTGTCACTGTCTGGTCACATTACTTTTCTTATCTTAAATATTAAAAACTACTCCAGGGGTGAGGTATATTACTTGTTTAAGGTCAGTGGTCCTGGGCTTGAAGCTTGTTCAACTCACCATGGACTCTAGAACCAGAGCAGTGTTGTGATTAAGGGCATAGGTTCTGGATTTAAATTTTTTGTATTCAAACCTTGGCTCTTCTACCATCTTCTGACAGTGAGACTGTGGCAAACTTGGCCTCCCTGGGCCTCATTTACTCTAAGAGTTAAATGACGTCCACATGTATAGCCCTTAGAATAGTGCCTGGCATGTGGCAAGCGTTCAGTACAGGTTTTTCATATTATTATAAGATAACATCTCAAAGTCCACAGTTTAGCATTTAAGATCTTCCAACCTGCTTTTTCAGATTTCTCTTTCATACCATGCCCCTATCAAACCCTCCTCTGTAGCTATATCCCTTTCCAAATTACCTCACACTGAGCTCTTTTGCTTTCTTACTGCCTCCCCTCTACCTGCATCAGTTCCTCTTCCTCTTTGACTATTCAAGTTTTAACCATTCTCCAAAGCTAACCTTAAAATTCACTTTTGATATAAATTTTTTATAACAGCTTCAGCCCCCAACATTATTCCTCTCCAAGGAATACCCAAACCACAATTTGTAGCAATCATTTGGTGCTCAGCACATTCTTCCTGTTACTACTAAAAGCTCTCTAATGACAGAAAGTTCTTTTTTTTTTAAGACACAACAAAATATATACTGTAGTGGCTTTTGAGTCAGAAAGAGCTAGGTTTAACACCAGGTTTTGTTACTGTGTAATTCAGACATGCTATTTAACTTCTTTGAGCCTCACTTTCCCATTTGTAAACAGAATAATATCACCTATATCGCATAAGGCTATTGTGAAATAGACTCGGATGTAATAAGTACTCTATAAATGGTGATTATTATGTTTTACTTCTTCATAATCCTTTTAGCCCTCAGCAGAGCAACTAGCACAGAAGTTAGCACCTAAAATATAAATGAACTAGATTAAGTTCTTCAA